ACAAACACAAAAAAAAAACCAAAAAAAAAACAAACTTTGAAAGGCCTACCCGATCCTTCGTCCTCTGCAGCAGCTCGTGGGAGTGAAGTTAATTCAAGGATTCCTGTGTGCCAGTAAGTCCAATTTTTTTAAACTTTCCCTAATCTTATTATTTACCTCATACCTCAGTAAATATTTACCGTCCTCCCTGTCCCACAATTTAGTTTTTTTATCCCACTAATTTGCCTTCTTTTTTTGTTGGTTCGGTCTCTTTTTCTTTAAATACTAATTTACCTTCTTTTTTTTTGTTGGCTCGGTCTCTTTTTTTTTAATACTAATTTAGTAATTTACCTTCTTTTTTTGTTGGCTCGGTCTCTTTTACCTTCCTTTACCTCAGGAAACATTTGCCCTCCTCCCCGTCTCACAATTTAGCAATTTGCCCTCTTTATTTGTTTTTGGGTTGGTTTTTGTCACCTTTTCGTGATGTCATTATTTACCTCAGTAAACATTTGTCCTGCTTTCTGTCTCGCAATTTATCATATTTTGTTTTCAGCTTGGTTTCTTTTACGTTCCCCTGATCTCATTGTTTAATATTTACCTCAGTAAACATTTACCCTCCTCCCCGTCTCACAATTTACCTTTCTTTTCTTAGGGGGCTTGGTTTCTTGTACCTTCCCTAATCTCATTATTTAATATTTACCTCAGTAAACGTTTACCCTCGTAATATGAAATAATTCAGTCTAATTGTGAAAATATTTAGTATTTACAATCGGAAGGCCAGATGACATGAACCATGTTTCTTTTTTGGTTTTGTGGAAATGATGCGAATCCTCCGACTCGCGGAAGAGCCAAACCAACATTTCATCACGGGCAACGAGAATACAAACGGGCAAGAAAAAGAACAACGAGACTAGAAACAGTCAAACTAGGAACCGGGGAAGAGCGGGTAGAGCGGGGTAGGGCGCTGTTAGAGCGCCGCTCTACGCCCCCTTACCCCCGCTCTAACCCCGTTCTTCCCCCTTTTCGGACCGTCGAGCACGGTTCCGAAAAACGCGCAGGCGGTGGGGGTTGCGGAAATGACAAAAACAAATTGCAAATAAACAACCCTCTACACCCCTACACTCGCCAATATCACTCCCCTACAGCCCTCAACACCCCTCTCTCTCTCTCTCCCTCTCTCTCCCCTCTCTCTCTCTCACACACACACACACACACACAGACAGCGTGCAAGGGTCCGACACTCCACCTGCAAGGGTCTGACATTCTCACACACACAGGCCTAGAAAGCGGTTGGACATTACGGAGCGCCCAACTTATTGGGCAGGCTCGGGCGGCTGGGCAGTTCTCTCTGGCCGTCGGTCCCCTGCAAGGGTCTGACGGCTGGCCCACCAGTTCGTACCCCTGCGGGGTTTTCATTTTTTATTTAAAAAACAAAAAAATCCAAAAAAAAGGCAGCACGAGAAGGTCCCCGACTGCTGGGGCCAGGCCCCCATGCCACAAAAACGGGGTTGTCCCCTCCCCGCTGGCCGCAGTCCTCTTCGCTGGGGGGTGCTCTGCCCCGTTGAACTGGGGGTAGGATGGGGGTAGGGTGGAGTTAGGACGCCACTCTAAGGGTAGAGCGGGGACCCCCCGTTCTACCCCTGCCCAGACACTCACCTGAGTCAAACAAATTGTAAGGACAGAATGGAAAAAAGGTCAAATCCCATGTTCAGAAGGGTAAAGGTGTCAAAGCCAAAGTACAGAAGGGTCAATCCTACGTTTCATCACGGCCAACTACACTTCGGAGGGGTCAAAAGGTCAAATCCTAAGTTCAGAAGGGGAAAAAGGGTAAATCACCGGTTAATAGGGGAGGTTCAGCTCTGCAGTTTCAGCCGTGTCTACTAGAGTACGAGACGGTCATGCTGCTGAATTTTATCCAGAGACATCCCGAAAAGTAAAGACAAACCCTCGAAAATCTCAAAATTCACCCTGGTCGTTGGGGCGACTTTCAGTCTAGCTAAGGGCTTATGGCAACAGGCATCACAAGATTGCGAGCGCCTCTTTTAATCTTCGTTTGCATGTGATTGGATTTTGCAAACTACACCCTGTCCCAGCATACGAACCTCAGCTCTGGGGGCCTCGAACCTTAACTCTGTGGGCCTCGAAGACACAGGAACCTGCATTCCTCTCTCTCTCTCTCTCTCTCTCTCTCTCTCTCTCTCTCTCTCTCTCTCTTGTGGGTTGCATGTGAATGCACCCTGGCTCACGTTCGTACTGTTGATGTCTCTCACGTATGCAGTGGTGTTATTCCCATCAGGCGCAGCAAATATTTCCATGAGTTTGTTGTGTATGAGTATGTGTGTGTGGCATTTTCATCATATGTAGGTTAGGTTCTCACTTCTTTCCCTTGTGCTGGCAAAAATGCTGATGTGTTCAGAGGCTGTGTACCATTGATATGGAGGGAGCTTGTCTACAAATATCGTGCAGCTATCCCAAATAGCGTAAGTATGAGGGCATACTGGTCAGTGAAGAGTGAAGCTCAGTCTATAAGCGGTGCCTTGTTATTACAAATTTGAAATTTAGGATCAAAAGTTTTTGGACTTGATCCTTGTTCAGAGCATTTGTGATTTTTCATTTTCACTTGCACTGGCGTTTTTTTGACTGAATATTATCTGCAATGGAAGTCAGATGCAGCCAAGAAAGTCTGAGTGTGAGTATGTCATAAGGTTTGCAGAAGGAAAAATCCGGCACCCATTTTTAGGAAGCAATTTTTTTCCTCTGTGTGTGTGTGTTTGTGTCTAGTGGTACTCCATCACTTGAATTAAATTCAATTATTTTCAGTACATTTCTGGGTAACACGGACTATCGAGCTGCGATATCCGGCACCCAGTTCATCCGGACATCTGGATGGACACCCGTCCACCACGTGGTGCGCTAAGGGGTTTGCCCATTTCGAGTTTTGTGTGATTGGTTGATTGATTGATTGAATTTGTGGTTGATTGATTCATTGATTGTGTAGTGAATTGATTGGATTGATAGTTTGGATTGATCAATTCATGGGATTGATTGTGTGTGGATTCGTTCATTCATTTATTTGCTAGGCTGTTTTTCCGGGAGCCCTGCAAGGTTTCGGGCAAAAAAAAAAAAAAAAAAAAAACGCAAAAAAAAATAATCCAGAAAAGAAATATGTTGTGTAGAATTGCAATAGAAACAACTTTTGGGCGAGGGTCACATCGGAATTCCTCACGGAATCGGAGATAAAAAAGAAAATAACAGAATCGCACTAAGGCACCTCCCTTTGAACCCCCTTAGCCCCTTTAAAACAAATTTATACCCCTCTCCCCCCCCCCTTGACAGTCAACTCTCAAAAAATGAAAAAAGTCTGGATTTGGGGTCCTCTGGGAGAGCGCAGAAAGGCAAAAAAAAAAGAAAAGAAATTTGCACGCCCGGGTGCCCGGCCGGCTGAGCATGAAAATTGGTTGGTTGGTTGATTGATTGATTGATTGATTGATTGATTGATTGATCGACCTATCAATCATTCACCCTCTCGATTGATTGATTGATTGATTGATTGATTGATCGCTGGATGGATTGATTGATGGATTGTTGGATTGATTGATTGAGTTCATTGTCATCATCAAAGTCAAAGACAACAAGCACGCACCAGGGGAGGGAGGGTTGAGGAGGTGTGGAATAGGGAGAGGAGGTTTGGGAAGGAGGTGTGAGGCCTCCCATTTATCAGAAGGGCTTGTAGGGTTCACCAGTGAGTGCTTAATGCAGGCCCGAAAGATGGAGGGTGGTCCAACCAGTTCCTTGAAAAGTCAGGCCAGAGTAGGCTCAAGTTTCGGTAGGCAGCAGCGACATCGGAAAAAGACTGGAAGGTAGAGTCCCATCGCTATCCTGGTCTAGAGATAAAGGGAGAGTCCTCCAGATCAGGAGTCTCCAGATAATGTGAGACTGGGAAGCCGGTCACACATTGAGGTCGTGCAGAATCCTCCATATCAGGAGGGACATGTCCTTGGAGGGAGATGGAGACCGTAAGACGAGGTGTTGGTGAGGACAGGGGGGATATCTGGTGGTCATCAAGAGGCCCTTCAGCAGGGTAGGATTACGCCACGGTCGGTAGGAGCATATAGGCCAGGGTAGTTGATGGAGTAGAGATCATATAGGCTGGTGGACAGACCAGCAAGAGCTGAGAACTATTATGGTGGTTGTATCGATGGTTAGGTGGTGAGAAGGGAGCTCGGCTTATCATTACCACAAAACTACAATGCTGTCAGTTCTTCAGCTGGTGTGCTCAATTGCTTCATCATTTCCGCTGATTCCAGGCGGCCTTATGCATGCTGGTCACCAGAGTCCACTGTGCTTGTAATTAGAGTTTCTCCAGCATGGTGTCCTTGCACATTCATTGTTGAGACACATAAGCGAGCACTCCGTTTCTTCTGCCTAACTCCTCTCCCTCCTCTTTCTTCTTCTTCTTCTTCTTCTTCTTCTTCTTCTTCTGCTGCTGCTGCTGCTGCGTCTGCTGCTTGCTGTTGCTGCTGCTGTTGTTGCCACTTCCGCTGCTGCTGCTGCTGCTCCTGGTTGCCGTCTCCACGGAAAAGTTGACCCTGAAATTGTCATTTTTCCTGCAGTTTCTTTTTTTGGGGAAGGGCGGCAGCCCAGGTAATTCATAGTTTAATAACTTCAATTGCATCTGGATTTGAATTTGGGTCTCTATTTTCTGCAGTTCGTGGGTGTATCAACTGACCTAGGCCAAAGGATTGAAATATTTTTGAGTTCTATCTGAATGTTCTTTGTGACAACTGCAATTGCATTTGATTGCTGATGATCCGCATCTGGCTTTGCACACTGCTGACCTTGGCTCTTGTGCGTGGTTCGTTCAGGAGCTACCACCCGAAGTGGTGGCAAAAGTGAACTGCTGGTATGGCAGAGAGTGCCGCACCCAACACCGGAGCGAGGAACATGCTCGGCGACTCAATCATGTGGGTCCTAACACACGTGCCGATCCACAAAGTGCCTTTGCGCCATTCACGCTCAGAGCACCAAGGATCCATGGATTTGCGCTGGATGCTCCCAGGTGAAAACGATTTCGTGGTAGGTCGTGACGAGACGAGCAAGGTATCTCATTTGCATTCATCGTATTGCTGTGATGCCCTCACGCCATTCACGTTCCGAGCACCAAGGATCCGTGGATTTGCGCTGGATGCTCCCCGGTGAAAACGATTACGTGGTAGATCGTGACATGATAAGCAAGGTAATCTCATTGCATTCATCGTATGGCTGGGATGCCTTCACGCCATTCACACTCAGAGCACCAAGGATCTATGGATTTGCACTGGATGCTCCTTGGTGAAAACGATTATGTGTTAGATGCTGACGAGACGAGCAAGGTATCTATTTCATTTGCTTTCATTGTATGGCTGTGAAATTGAGAAGAAGAATTTTGCTGCGGTTTCTGGGTGATGAGTGGCTATCTCAGACATTCACTGCGGTTCGCAATCAGACAATGAGACGCACGGCACACGCTTGCAATCCCAGGAGCAAGCGGCATATGATTTGATGGCTAATATGAGGCCTACTGTGTGACATATTATAGTATTATTACATACTCGTTTGTTCCTATTCAAAGGCTATTCTACTTAGTGATGATTGAACTAGGAAGTTAGTAGGAACTGCTAATTGCAAATCCTAGAGTCCTTGGAATCCTGCAGGAGCCATGGAGACAAATGTGTCACTGGAATGCGGAGAATAATCCGTCGTGTCCAGCTCTGATTTGAGATTAGTGCCAAAAGTATATGCCAACTTTTTTGCAACTGGAAGTAGACTGCTTGTGTGATGGTGTGTAACACTTTACATGCAGTTATGTATATTGGGCTTCAGCGGAATCGACAGAGGAGCCAGTGGAGGCAGATGAGGACATTTTGCATCTTGCAGTCGGCTATTCGGAGCAGGTCACAGATCACAGGTATGTGCTGTGATGTGCTATTTAGAGCTCGGTTATGTATATGATGCCAAGTTGGAGTTGTCGCCATCCATCTTGTCATGGTATCATTTGACTGCATGTAGTTGTGTCCCGATCGGGAGAGTGGTCGGGAGAGTGGTCGGGAGAGCGGTTGGGAGAGAGATTGGGAGAGCGGTTGGGAGAGTGGATGGAAGAGTGGATGAGTGGCTGGGACAGCGGCTGGGATAGTGGATGCAAGAGTGGTTGGGAGAGCAGTTGGAAGAGTGGTTGGGAGAATGGATGGACGAGTGGTAGGGAAAGAGAGCGCATGGGTGAATGTGGTTGGCAACCTGGCAGAGTGGTTGGGGAGAGTGGCTGGGGAGAGTGGTTGGGGAGCGGTTGGGGAGTGGTTGGGGAGAGTGGCTGGGGAGAGTGGTTGGGGAG